GACAATATGTGTAAAATTATTGTAGCTGTAATATTCGCACAGATATAGTCGAATAAAAGTCGTATGTTTAATATGTTGCATTAAACTTTCTAATTATAATTCTGGTTTCAAGTTTTGTTTACATTGTATGATTTTGACCCCGTCGTTTAGACAACGTTTTCTCGCTCAATATTGTAGCTACAGGAATATAGCTCCCACTAAAATGTAGCTATTTTCACAAGCATTCAAACCATCTGCGGTAGGGGTGAATATCGTTAAATTTCGAATTAATATAAGCGGTTGAAACTCGTTCCTAAACCGGACATTATATTGTCCGACTAGAATGTGTATTCCGACGGCAATTTTTACACCCTCGTTTAGGCAACGTTTTCTCGCTCAATATTCTAGCTACAATATTCTAACTCGTATCAAAATGTAGCTGATTGCACCAGCTATCTGACAATATGCATAAAATTATTGTACCTGTAATATTCGCACATATATAGTCGAATAAATGTCATATGTTTATGTTGCATTAAACTTTTGTTTACGTTGTGTGATTTTGATCCCGTCGTTTAGACAACGTTTTCTCGCTCAATATTGTAGCTACAGGAATATAGCTCCAACTAAAATGTAGGCATTTTCACAAGCATTCAAACCATCTACGGTAGGGGTGAATATCGTTAAATTTCGAATTAATATAAGTGGTTGAAACTGGTGCCTAAACCAGACATTTAGTATCGTCCGACGGTGATTTTGACACCCTCACTCGTTTTATAGACAACGAATCACACAATGCAACATAAACATTTATTCGACTATATCCGTGCGAATATTACAGGTATAACAATTTTACGCATATTGTCAGATAGCTGGTGAATTCAGCTACATTTTGGTACGAGTTAGAATATTGTAGCTAGAATATTGAGCGAGAAAACGTTGCCTAAACGAGGGTGTAAAAATTGCCGTCGGAATACACATTCTAGTCGGACAATATAATGTCCGGTTTAGGCACGAGTTTCAACCGCTTATATTAATTCGAAATTTAACGATATTCACCCCTACCGCAGATGGTTTGAATGCTTGTGAAAATGGCTACATTTTAGTGGTAGCTATATTCCTGTAGCTACAATATTGAGCGAGAAAACGTTGTCTAAACGACGGAGTCAAAATCACACAATGTAAACAAAACTTGAAACCAGAATTATAATTAGAAAGTTTAATGCAACATATTAAACATACGACTTTTATTCCACTATATCTGTGCGAATATTACAGCTACAATAATTTTACACATATTGCCAGATAGCTGGTGAATTCAGCTACATTTTGGTACGAGCTATACTATTGTAGCAAGAGAATATTGAGCGAGAATTCGTTGCCTAAACGAGGGTGTACAAATTGCCGTCGGAATACACATTCTAGTCGGACAATATAATGTCTGGTTTTAGGCACGAGGTTCAACCGCTTATATTATATTAATTCGAAATTTAACGACATAAACCCCCAACGCGGATGGTTTGAAAGCTTGGGAAAATGCCTATATTTTAGTTGGATTTATATTCAGGTTAGTAGAAAATTCGCCGAGAAAATGTTCGCAACAAACTGTTGTTAATATGCCATGGAAATTCAAAAATATCTATTACATTTTCAAAACCTCGCCTTGCTGCGCATGTAAACACACGCATTTGAAGCTTTCAAAATATATAGTTATAAAACTTTAAAGGCACAGTTGGAACGAAAACTTATTAAAATTGAAACGGCCTAGTTTGAAACTAATGATTTTCTTGAAACCCCGCCAATGTCCATTGATTTTTCGTCCTCGTTTCACCGACATCGTATATCAAAATCGAGCTTCAAATCAACAGTAATCAGTATTGCAGTATTCACTATAAAAACTAACCTTCACTGTGTTCCCTCCAGAATATTTAAAAAAATACAATATCAGCCTTGGCAGCCTTGCAAAAAATCCGATTTCTTGAGGTTGTGTATTAACAACTTAAACATTTGTAGTGATTTATAGGGTAAATACCTATATCTTGAAAGTAACTATTTAGAGCCTGGATGTACGTCTAGCAGTAAACACTAACTGACTAAACGTCTGTAAACATTTATAGAAATTTCTTTAAAGTCACTATATTTGCTTCGTCACTATTTGTCATCGGTCAATGAATTCTTTACTCTTTAGCTCGCTAATTTGACTATTCAGCATGGTTCATACCTGGAGCAATTATTAACTGCAAAGCCTCCGCCTTGCATAACTACATTATTATTACATTCGTAATACCTGTTGTATATATTTTGCGTTGGGATTTCCGTAAAATATATCGCGGGTAAGGCTTTTTGTCCGCATCCGCATTTTATCCTTTTTGTCCGAATCCGCATTTTATCCCTTTTGTCCGCATCCGCATTTTATCCCTTTTGTCCGCATCCGCATTTTATCCTTTTTGTCCGCATCCGCATTTTATCCCTTTTGTCCGCATCCGCATTTTATCCGTTTTGTCCGCATCCGCATTTTATCCGTTTTGTCCGCATCCGCATTTTATCCCTTTTGTCCGCATCCGCATTTTATCCTTTTTGTCCGCATCCGCATTTTATCCCTTTTGTCCGTCCGTCCGTCCGTCCGCGTGTCCGTCCGCGTGTCCGTCCGTCCGTCCGCATCCGCGTTTTATCCCAACCCCTAACAATAGTGGATAGTGTTTAGGAAATACTATTTCCTCCAACAACCAAACTAAACGAAATGTGGGAAGGTTTGATTATGAGAAGTATAGCGATGAGCAAAACAGGGCAGATACAGTTGCTTTTCGTGAGTTCACTGCATGGATATAATCAGGCAAGGCATTTGTGCACACAATGACCGAGGAAAGCCCATTCCAGCTTATATTCAACTGTCAGTTGAGTAGTTGACGCTCCGGGTTTATGCCACGGGACATTGCAGTCAGCATGCGGAGGCTTGTATGAAATGTCTCAGCCATCAGCAAGTAGAATTATAAAACGTGTAATCGTGTATCCAAGGTAATCGCACGCTTAAAGAAAAAACTACATTGGATTTCCTGCATGTGATATGCTGTACATGATATCAACTGCTTGATTTCAGAAGAATTGGTGGATTTCCAAATGTTGTCGGTGCAATTGACTGTACGCTTATTAAAATCCATGCCGGAGGTTACAAATGCTAAACATTGTGGCACGTTGCCTAGGTAGCATCCACGACACCACAATTGACCTTATGCATAATGATGTCGCAAGGCTTGATGCCCGCGAGGAATGCTGATCTTAGTAGTCATCGCCATTGAACTATGGTCATCGCCCGGGGAAATTAAACAATTCAAAATGGCCACAATCAAAATTTCCCGGGTGATGACTATACTAAGACCAGCATTCCTCGCGGGCATCAATCCTTGTGACGTCATTATGCATAAGGTCTATTTTCGACAACAGTCGCATGTGTGCAAAGTTCGAACGTGTTGATATTCCTGGTATATCGCCTGGTGTCAGCGGTTGTCGTATAAAGCTTCCCAAGGGTGCCTTACTGCAGATGTGTCACCCTGTAATCGTTGTTTTTATTTCAATCGCATCTTTGTGCTTTTCAACTAGTACTGTTAACAGCGACTTTTCGAATTGAGAGAAATATTGCCTACTTTGAGATATCTTGTGCAGCAACAGACATTTTGTGCAGCTGATGATTCAACAACGACTATGTGTACCTCAAACCCTCATTAATATTCGACGTTAAGCACTCCAGTTAGTTACACTCGAGTGAGCTCTGTTCATCAGATTTTTGGACCAATGAATGCTCCCTCACAGTGTGGACACTCAAACTCACACCCCACTCATACTCACACTTCTATCATACTTGAGTGCATCGCATTTGAGCATCAAGTACTTGAGTGAGCTTTTAGAACACAGGCGATATATGTAGTGTTACGATATACAACCGCTCGCCAGAAAAAGTGGCAACAAAAAGTATACTATTAAATCAACCAGGGTAGACATTTTAAAAATCAAAAAATATTATCAGTGGAAAGTTTAGACATCGCTTGTGATTTAATGTTGAAATATAGGATTTGCCATTGAAATGGCCTGAGAATTGTTCAAGATACAAAATAATGTTGCATTGCAGGAAAAATTGAGGGACAAATTGAAGCTTCCTAATTAGCCTGCGAACAGGCTCTCAAGCTGAATTGAGAGCCTGCATCGATGACTAATGAATTTGAATATCTGCGTCTCAAATCATGACGCGAAATTCTCATTGGTCAGATGCTATAATTTATATGTTTCCGCTGAGCTCTATATATGTCAACTGCTAAGCACTATGCATAAAAAACACTGATTAACTGATCAAATTGGTCTTGGACGTCTTATCTCAAAGCACGAAATGTTCTGTTCTGAGAAAACAGTATTTAAAACATTTAAACTTTTGCTTGAATATCTTATATTTCGAAAAACAGTATAAACTGCACGGTCTAAATTTAGTTTGCACGGTCTAAATTTAGTTTGCACGAAAGTTGTAAACAACACCATATAAGGATAGACATTCCATATTTGGAAAAACGAACGTTACGGGGCAGATATTCAAATTCATTAGTCATCGATGCAGGCTCTCAATTCAGCTTGAGAGCCTGTTCGCAGGCTACTTCCTAATGGGAGCAATAACGCTCTTTGATTGGCTAAAATGTCGTTGCCCGGATGTAAATTACGAAAGGAGCAGGAAATTACTAAAATAATACAACTTTCAAAACATCCAATATTAGCGTAAAACAGTGAGGACTGTTGATAAAACCAGGATTGAATACTTGAATTGTAGCCAAAAGTTGAAAAAATATATTTTTTTGGTTCTACATTATTCAAATTTGCCCCCATTAGGCATTACTCATTAGCAAGCTTCAATGTGTCCCTTCCGTTTGCCTGAACTTTTAATGTCGTCGATCAATTATTATAAAGAAGTATACTGCAGTCTACAATAACAATTAACTGTGACCCTAATTTTAAAATGTTTAATATAGTTAGCGTATTCATGCATGATTTTTTATTACTCTTGTTTTTTTTATGTTCAGTCATTCCACTCTCGATGTTTAAGATGTTTTGACTGTGGAAAGGGACTGGACAGTGGCTCACTGAAAAGTCGAGAATCAGCTATTTACTGCCAAGGTAAAATTTTATGCTTTAGTCTAAAATGCACTGTTTTACTACGTATTAATAGTTTTCCTCTAAACTTGTATAAATAGTAAAAATTTGTATGTATAAGTACATATAAAAAATAGTGTATGTATATACGGTATATATATTTATCACTTATTTACTGAGACGAGGGAAGCAGTGTGTTTTGTGGACCCGAGACCGTCGATGTTTCCCGAGGCGAAGCCGAGGGAAACATCGACGGTCGAGGGTCCACAAAACACACTGCTTTCCCGAGGTCTCAGTAAATAAGTGTTTTATTATATATCAATAGTCAAAGAAACAACAAATTAAAGAACAAATGAACGTAAATACATGAAATATTTTATCGTTAAAACGTTAAATTAAACACTGGCTACACTGCAGTTACTTAAAGCGAAAGTTTTAATTACGTACTAGGAATGTCCAAAGGTCACATCTTCTTCACGTGGTGGCGCACGTGATTTTTTTTGTTATTCGCCGGTCGATAACGTATTATCTCCCTCTCGCGCTGTACGTTGCGAGGGAGACAGCCTAATTTCGTCACTCTCACGTGATATGCTCTCAACCAATAAAACACTAGAAAAATGCGACTTTGACTATTGATATATAATAATATATATTATTTTATTATTATATAGAGAATAATACATGGGTGCGCGGAAATACCAGATTTATTTCGAGTGTTGAACACGAGAAATATATCAAGCACCCATGTATTTTTCTGTTTATTATATAAACAAAATTGAAAAACAATAAAATATCCGTGGCAATGCGTTTTACAACAAGTTCTCTGATTGGTCAAACATATTTCCTACGCGTTTTTTGATTGGCTTGCAAAAATGATATTTTCACACGTAAAAAATATCGTATTTTTTACGTGTGTTTAAATACGATTTTTCTCCATGGCCAAAAACTCTATAACACTTACGTTTATATAATAAATTATAATATTATATCTTGTTATATAATAGAGAGTGAGATACTGAAAAATATACAGTTTTCCATATCTTCACTAGTGAAGATATCGATCACGTGACGTTTTCCAATTTACTTTTGAGCGTGAAATTTCACAATCCTTTGCTTGGGACTATTTGTGCTCGTGTTAAAAACACGATTTTTTTGTGCTCGTGTTAAGAACAATATTTTACTAATAATAATACTGTAATAGATAATAAATAAATATTAGTGAATAGTGCAAGGATATTCACAGGGACGTAGGATCCCCCCTCCCCCCCATTTTTTTCAAAAGACCAAATCTGTCCTTTTTGTACATTCACATCGAAGGTGCCATTTTTGTTTGAACATTTCGATGTTTTAAAACAGATTTGGTCGAAAACGTTTGTCGTTACAATTCGGTATGTTATGATCGGAAAATTTTTCTTTCACCCCCGCCAACATTTTCAGGAAAATTTTTTAGGTGCTCTTTTCAGTATACAAAAGTGCCGTGGAAGCCGGTGTCCCCCCCCCCCCCAATCGTATTCACATCCACTTCGGTGAATAATTGTTGAAAAATATATACAGCCATTAGTTCAAAAATCTAAAACCTTAAACATTGAGCGCGCAAGGTATGATGGATATTGTTTATTCGAAGCTTATAAGATTGGGCATTAGCTTAGTCATAGCCTATCGAAGGGGAGATGGCTGTGAAAGTCATTAGAATAACAATATAACTCATTATCTATGTTGGTCAACGTTTATTCATAAATCTGTTCCTTCGCCGTCAGGTGTGTATTGTATTTTTACCCAACTAACAAATAGCAATGTTTTAGGAAAGTCACCTATCCGTGACTCGAACAATAGGGAAACTAGAAATTGCTATTGGTGGATTTGGTAAAAATACAATACACACGTGACAGTGTGTAGATGGTTTGTCGCCTCTTTTTAAGGAATGTCGCCTGTCGGTCATAAACCCTTGGTGGGCCTCGTGAAACGCATTAGAATAACAATATAACTCATTATCTATGTTAACGTTTATTCATAAATAGGGTCCTTCACCGTCACGTGTGTGTTGTATTTTTGCCAAATACCAATTTCCAATCCAACTTACCCTATATTGTTCGAGTCACGGATAGTTAACTTTCTTAAATAGTTAAAACATTGTTATTGGTTAGTTGAGCAAAAATACAATACGCACGTGACGGTAAAGGACCAGATTTCTGAATAAACGTTGACTACAATAGATGAGTTATATTGTTATTCTAATGAGTTTCATAGCCATCTTCCCTTCGATAAGCTTTGGTTTGGTGGAGCCTCGAGCTAGAATTTCAAAGGTCGCGGGTTCGAAACCCAGCCGCGGCAGGCAGAATATAATTTTGCGCTTGCGCGGTTTGGGTTCATTAACTCGTCCGAGAAAATTTCGTCCTGTATACTTTTAGTATAATAGTCCATTCCTGTAAATTGTTTCTAGGTTGTTACGGCAAGAAGTTTGGACCAAAAGGTTATGGCTTTGGAGGAGGAGCAGGCACACTCACGCATACGGAATGAACCGCCTTTTGTTTAATATCTAAATTTATGGATACTTATTAAATGGGAAAAATTAGAAATATAATTAAATGTTCATCAGCATCACGCAAACTCAAATCCTTTCGAGGGTGATGGCTAACATAATTTTGTAATGTATATGTCGTTTGGGTTTAATTGCGTTTCATTTCGAGTCTGGAGCCCAAAAATTTCTTGAATACAATTAAGAAAACATTTTCCGTGCTTCTATACAGTTGTATAGAACCACGTGGGGGAGTTCCGGAGAACGAGAAATGATCAGGCAGTGGAAAAACGAGCCAGGGCCTTTTTCAGCATAGAAGGCAAGGGGGGAGGGGGGCTTTGCCCCCAATCCCCCTTGTGCCCCCTCCCCCTCCACGAGTCAATATTTGCCGCCTCTCCAGTCAAAATCCATTTTCTCTAAAATATAAGCAAAACATTGGAGGGAGGATTGAATTTTGATACTAGAGGCGAGGTTTGATATTCTAGTAACTGAAATTTACTTTGTGAATCTTATGTCATGTCCTTTATCATCAAATGATTCAATATCTTTTTAAAAATGCTAAACATTGTGTTGTAAATACCTTAGATTTTAAACATTTTCCAGTGTATCCGCATATCCCAGACCCTATAGATTTGACTTGTTAGAAGGCTAGGTTAAACAAATTAGCGAGTGACCGAGTTTTGGTATTTAAATAAACATACCATGAACTGAAGAATCAGTCTATTTACAGTATAATGCAACGCTGTATATCCAAAAATCTGTTTCAGAAAATGCACGAAATGCAGTCCTAGGGGTGGAAAACTACAGACCCTCCTACTATTACATACGACATTTTTTCACCAACCGGCATCTGCCATCCCGATCTCCATATACCTCAGTATAATATGGTCCTTTCTGCAGATGCCCCCCTCCCACTGACGAATTCTTAAAAAAGGCCCTAATTAATAAATAATCGAACACAGAAAGCATAACACAAACAAGCAAACAATTTTGGGTAGCAATTAATTTCTGACAAAACATTTTAAGGTTTAAGATTTTTAACCTTGATAGTTACGTTTTGAAAAGATATCTTTAAAGATTTTAAAGGCATTACAGTTTCAAGAGGTTATTTGCATGGATAAGTACTGGCCTTGCAATTTCTTCGCATGAAAATATCAATTATGCCTGGAAATCCCAAGGAAAAACAACACAACCATTTATTTATAATTCATATATGAGAATGATCAATTAATAATATTTCCAACGTTCACTTATTCCCATAAAGGCAAGTGTCTTCGACACCCTCACTTTCTTAAAGCTATTTGACAATACTCGTAGACCGAGTACATATAATTTATATATTATCATGGCATTTCACAGAACAGTTTCATATGCATGCCAATCCAACAAACATATCATTTAAGTCTGACAACTTAAATCCAGAAACAAAACTATTCACAAACGATAACGCCAAAATATTTCTTTATAGTTTTTTTGTTCATAAATATCAATTAGTTAAAGTGACTTTGACACTTTGGCCAATATCCCGCAATTCCTTGAAGATCATAGGCTCTCATGAACGGTATTGCACACAGGTTTATGAGCGCGCCAGTCGTTTTTCTGACAAGTTCTGCTACAATACGGCTGCGCACATCTAGAACATAATTTTAACGTGACGTCATCACCTTCTTCTTTGTCACAATAACCACATTTTCGTTTCGGTCCGGGGACACCTTGCAGCTCGTATGTTTCCAGTGTACTGAAACTGCCACCGCATAACTCCAGGAATTCTTGAAGGTAAAATAAAGAACGATTAGCATGCACCAAACTGAATTCTCTTAAAGTGCCTATGACACGAAATTTCACCCCAAATGTTTATGATTGCATTGTAAAGATCACTTAAAATAACTTAATAATTTCTTTTATAGAATTTTGATAACTTGCTTCCTTTGCAAGATATTCAACTTTGTTTCATATGCAAATATCACCGGTGTGACATCACATAGCATAATGAGATTTTGAAAACGCAATATTTTACCTTGATAAAATATTTTTACAAACAAATACAGAGGGTTAATGACCAGTTATGAAACAAATACATATACAAGGGCAATTTTTAAGTTTTTTAGATACGTATTCGTCAAGAACACTATACTTTTCTGAAAACTCATTATGTGATGTGATGTCACACCGGTGATATTTGCATACGAAACAAAGTTGAATATCTTGAAAAGGAAGCAAGTTACCAAAATTCTATAAAAGAAATTATTAAGTCATTTTAAGTGATCTTT